ATGTGGGATCTTCCTAGACCAGGGGTGGAACCAGTGTCCCTTGAATTGCAAGGTCAATTCTTAACCACTGAACCACTGGGGAACCCTGACACAGTTGTTTTAAAAGAAATCCTGTAATGGGACTTACCTGTGGTTAAATGATCCAGGGGTTAAGAATCCACCTTCCAAAGCAGGGAACTCAAGTTCAGTTCCTGGTTGGGGAGCTAAGATCAAGGATGCCACAGGGTATCTAGGTCCCTGTGCCACAACTACAAAGAAGCTCACAGGCTGCAACTAAGACCTGATGCTGCCCAAAATAATAAATAAATACATAATTTTAAAATCAACAAGTAAAAGAAACCCTGTAACCTTTCAGCAGGCACTTTCACAAATATAATTGTTTGGCCATTAACATTGGTATAACTGGGGCTTCCCTGGTGGCTCATTAGGTAAAGAATCTGCCCACAGTGTGGGAGACCCAGGTTTGACCCCGGGTCAGGAAGATCCCCGGAGAAGGGAATGGCAACCCACTCCAGTATTCTTGCCTGGAGAATCCCATGGACAGAGGAGCCTGGCGGGCTACAGTCCATGGGGTTGCAAAGAGTCGGACACGACTGAGTGGCTGACATACACACCAGGGAACTCCTCTACTCCTGCTTATTAAAACAGCTTTCTTGGAGTCTTTAGATTTTTTCTGTCTGTCACTTGCATACATGCAGTAAAGGGAAGCTATAGATGCAATAAATTAGTTGAAGTCTTTCTAAGATTCTTTTGAACCGCTTATCAGTATCCATATATGATGAAGCCACATCACTTTCTGTGCTCTCCCGAGTACTAGTGATGTAGATATTTTGTCTCTGAGATGTTCATCCATGTTGCTGTTTCCCATTCTGCCACTTTCTGCATCTTACTAGAAGGTGTCAATGGAATGTGTTTTAAACAATCTGGGCTCATAATCCTTCTTCCAGTAGGTCTTGGTTTGTTAACAGTGAACCGTCTAGAGTTTCCTTTGTCTGGTCCTGCCTTTGGGAATGATGACCAAGTGCATTCGTGTGTAATCAGTGACAACAAGACTAAGGCAAGCAATCGTACGACTCACCCTAATTTCAGAGGTGAAAAAATATATGTCTTATAATTGATGAACATCATTCACAAGAAGTCTAAGAGTAAGTGGACATTCATTATCCCTGTGTCTTCGTGATGCTGAGGCTCTGGGTGAATGTCTTGGTGAGTCTTCTTGTCACAAGGTAGCGGTTCCCACACTCAGAGGCAGAAGGCAGGGAGCAGGGTCAGGCCTTTCTCCTTCTGCATGTCAGACAGAGAAAATCTCTCTGCCAGAAATCCCTTAGCAAATTTCCCGTTACCTCCCATTGTCCAGAACTGCATCACATGGCCATGAATAGTAGGTAGGAGGGAGTTTGGGAAATCTGTTTTTTCTCACCATTTTGAGAATGGGATTGGGGATGGCTTTTGGATGGTCAGTTAATAGTCTGTCTCACTGTGGTCAAATGCATTTGGAGTTTTCTCATTTTTTTTTAATTTATATTTTATTTATTAATTTGTTTTTGGCCACACTGTGTGGCATGTGGGATTTTAGTTCCCCGACCAGGGATTGAACCCACACTCCCTGTATCAGAAGCATAGACTCTTAACCACTGGACCACCAGGGAAGTCCCTGATCTTTCTGTTTTTGATTTCAGGAGCAACTTGTATGTCTCAGGTAGCTAGAGTAATATGTTAACCATCGTCATAGTTGACATTTTGGGACCACTTACTACACACTGGGCTCTCTGTCATGGACGGTTTATGCCATCATCCCATTTACTCCTCCCCACCCTCCTGCCACATGGATGCTGTTGTACAGATGACAGGCTGAGATCACCCAGCTGTGAGTGATAGGACTGAATCCAGGTCTGACTCTAGAGCTGTGGTTTGTTCATTTATTATTGGAGTATAATTGCTCTACAATGTCATGTTAGTTTCTGCTGTACAACGAAGTGAATCCGCTACCTGAATACATATATGCCCTCCTTCTTGCGCCTCTCATCCACCCGACCCCCATCCCACCCCTCCAGGTTGTCACCTAGCACCAAACTGAGCTCCCTCAGCCACACAGCAGGTCCCCATGAGCTATCTACTTAACACGTGTAGTGTCAGTCGCATGGTTGTGTCCAGTTCTTTGGGACCCCGTGGACTGTAGCCCGCCAGGCTTCTGTGCCCATGGGATGCTCCAGGCAAGAATACTGCAGTGGGTAGCCATTCCCTTCTCCAGGTGATCTTCCTGACTCAGGGATCAAACCTGGGTCTCCTGCATTGTGGACAGATTCTTTACCGTCTGAGCTCCCAGAGAATATATACATGGTAGTATCTATATTGGAGAAGGTGATGGCACCCCACTCCAGACCTCTTGCCTGGAAAATCCCATGGATGGAGGAGCCTGGTAGGCTGCAGTCCATGGGGTCGCAAAGAGTCGGACACGACTGAGTGACTTCACTTTCATGCGCTGAAGAAGGAAATGGCAACCCACTCCAGTGTTCTTGCCTGGAGAATCCCAGGGACGGGGGAGCCTGGTGGGCTGCCGTCTATGGGGTCGCACAGAGTCGGACACAACTGAAGCGACTTAGCAGCAGCAGCAGCAGCAGTGTATATATGGCAATCCTAATCTCCCAATTTGTCCCACCTTCCCTGTCCCCCGCTGTGTTCCTGTGTCCATTCTCTACTGTGTGGTTCTTAATCTTCAGTTTCTATAGCTTCTGGTATGGCACTTCTAAATGGTTATTTGTCCATTTGTCTTTTTACATTTTGTCAGAAATCTAGCTATATTTTTGGTACTTCCTAGTAACACCTAGCACAGTGTCTTGCCCATAGCCAATCCTTGATAAATCTTTGTGAAATAGATAAAGGAATAAATGGAAGAATGAATGAAAGAGCAAATTTATAAGTAGTTTTCCTGAATGTTAACCTAATATTGAATTAGTCCATTATAATTATCAGAATATTTCCTCCCTCTTTTCAGGATCAGTTTTTGTTCTTTAGTCTCATTTCTTCTAAATTCTAGATGTCATCGTGAATGTTTCTGAGTAGAAATATCATGGGTCATTAACTGATAGATTTGGAGAGGTTTATACTGGGCAGCCAGTTCTACCCTCATTTTCTTGGCAAAGACTATCAAGCTGTCATATCTGGTAGGTTAAGCCTCAAACCCCTTGCCCACCAACATCCCAGGGCAATATCTGAGGCAACCAGGACAATTTCTGCCTTTTTCATACGTGCATTCATGCTAAGTTGTTTCAGTCATGTCCGAGTCTTTGCAAATCTGTGGACCATAGCCCACCAGACTCCTTTGTCCATGGGATTCTCCAAGCAAAAATACTCCAGTGGGTTGCCATGCCCTCCTCCAGGGTATCTTCCCAACCCAGAGCACACCCATATGTCTTATGTCTCCTGCATTGGCAGGTGGGTTCTTTACCACTAGAGCTACGTAGAAAGCCCACCTTTTTCATATAATGCCCTCCAAACACCCTTTGCCTGGATTTAATATTCTAATTGTGTATGTATCTGATTACTTAAATAGTTTTCTATGTGTTGTTGTTAGTTTCCAGGAGACATTGCATCACACGGGATCTTTCTTTGTGGCACATAGACTCTCTAGTTCTTGCACACAGACTAGTTGCTGTTGCTGGGGCTTAGTTGCTCCGCCGTGTATAGAATCTTAGTTCCCCCACCAGAAATGGAACCTGCATTACAAGGCAGATTCTTAATCGAACCACCAGGGAAGTCTGCCTGTCACGTCTTGTTCCAGGTCCCAACCCAATTCTCAATAACCCCAGTCTCCTACCAGCTCCTCCCACCTCAGGTTTCCTATTCTGCAAACAGGAGTCTGTCCTCCAGCCCCCCAGGTGCACCTAAGACGCCATTGTTCCTGTGCCTGCCTTACAATCCTTTTCACAATGACAGAGTCTCTCATCCAGACAACAAGGCCCTTCCCTTTCATAAGTGTAATGGATCAATCTTGCTTTCCTAAACAAAAGAACAGTTTCTGCCTGAGATGATGTCTGTGGCTCCCTCAGGACAGTAAAGGGCTTCCCTGGTGGCTAAGTGATAAAGAATCCACCTGTGATGCAGAAGACGCAGGAGAGGCAGGCTCGATCCCTGGGTTGGGAAGATCCCTGGAGGAGGGCATGGCAACCCACTCCAGTTCTTGCCTGGAGAATCCCATGGATAGAGGAGCCTGGCAGTCTACGGTCCACAGTGTTGCAAAGAGTCCGATACAACTGAAGTGACTGAGCAAGCAAGACAGAAATGGTTACAGTCAGCAGGGTTTTGTTGCATGTATGTTACTATTTTTTTAATATCATCTTTTTCCTTCCTGATTCATTACCTTTGGCTATTTTATGAAGCTCAGATGCACCAGTGGCAGTCAGTCTGACTCATGGACAGTCACATGAGTAGATAAAAGAAATTGCTGTTGTCATACATTTAAAAAATATTGTCTGCATTTGATTTCCTTTGAAAAGACGAAGGACTGAGCACATACAGATTATTAAGTTCTGATCTTCTGGCCAGATTCCTGTGTCCTGAAGATTGAGAAAAATGTAGCTATATAAGGATTTTTATTCATGTAAAGCTGGAGAAGCCACAGACAAGTCCTGGAGAGTAGGGACTGAAGGCAACGGTAGTGTCCTCCACCCTGGGCCTGGCGGAGACCCTGCTTTATTGTGGGGGTGTCTGAAGGAGAGGAGAGTCAGGAGGCAGAGACATAATAGTTGAGCCTATAGGAGGCCCTGGGACATTCTGGGCCTGGTTCCCCTCTGTGTTTCCCAAAAGTACGCGGGGCAGCTGCCTGTGCAGAGCCCTTCCAGGGGCTCGGTCTCTCCTGTGCTGACTGTCAGAGACCCCTGCAGCTCCCCCTGGCTTGTGGGGCAGGCCTCTGATGGGTGCCCCCTTTGCGTGTGTCCCCCACGCTGTCCCTAGCCCATGGGGCAGGCCTCTGACGGGTGTCCCTCCTGTGTTGCGTCCAGGGACAAGGTGCCTTATCGGAGCGACTCCGGAGCTTCAGCATGCAGGATCTCTCCACCATCAGGGGAGACGGCACCCCTGCTCCCTCGGGGCCCCCTCCACCGGGCCCTGGGCGGGCCAGCGGCAAGCACGGCCAGCCTAAGATGTCCAGGAGTGCTTCTGAGAGCGCTGGCAGCTCAGGTAAGTATCACTTCACTTCCCTTCTTTCCCACCTCCTAGGCCTTGCTTTCCTAGTGAGAGGCCCAGGCCACCCTAGCACCCTTTCCCCAAGGACTCAGCACTCACACAGACGCCCACCAGACCATTCAGGCCAGCCAAGGGACTGAGTGCCACTCAGGCCAGGATGGGAAGCTGGCCTTGGGAACTCTGAGGGGGGCAGAGTTAGGTCAACTACACCGAGGGTCCTGCTTCCTCCATCTGATTATCTGGGTTGGGAGGGTATTGAGGGTGGTTGAATAGTGGTACGCAGACCAAGCCTAGAGGTGACTGGCCCAGCTGCCCTCAGCCAAGGCAGCTTCCTCCCTTTCCTTCCTCTCTGTCCACATGCTCCCAGGAGGGCTCACCTGTCATGAGCACCTGAGTGTCTCCCCCCCACACCCAGGGCTTACGGCTCCCATGGTCCCTTTTCTTGACATGGTGTTTCCTGTCTTCTCATTCTACCATCTCGTCCCTTCCTTGTGCCCCCACCATAAGCCTCACCCTGGGCCACCACGTGCCAAAGCCACACTAGCCCTGAGATCTAATTCCTGCGGAGGCCAGGGTTGTATGAAACCATACCTCTGCCTCCGTGTCTGCCCTGGTAGAGAGGGGTCCCTGTGCCAGAATTGACATGGGACCTTATTATTAAATGTATAGTGTCCTGGGCCCACCCCCAGGGGATTCAGTTTGTTGAGGATGAGACCCTGATACATGATGCTGTCAAGGTGCAGCCACATTTGGGACTCACCAACATCTGACCCATCAATGGGTTTCTGGTTTGTGGAGGCTGGGGTCGGGGACTGGAGGGGTAGGGAGCCGGGCAGGACTTCTGGTTCTCCAGACTGTTCCCAGGGGAGGTTACAGGGCTGAGCACTCCTGCTGAGGGTTGATGGAGAGGGGGCGGGCTGCAGGGCATGGTTCTGAATCTCCACCTCCACCCCTCTCGCTTGATGGGACATTGAGCCTGGGGGTGGATATGGGGCCACTGTGGCAGTCTCTGGCTGTGACCTGGGCCAGGTGGCTCGCCTGCCCTTAAATGTATAAACAGGGATGTCCAGGTCACTTAGACCTGGGTCGTGTGCTGTGAGATGCAGCCCGCGGGGGACATCTTAGAGTCCTGAGCACAGGGTCCTTCCAGGCCCACCCAACTTGAGGGTCTAAGACATGGATGGGAAAGAGGAGCTTCATGGCTGCCCTGGGAATGACAGCGTGTGCTCCCCGCCTGGAAAAGGAGACCAGCTCAGAGCCAGGCCTGGCATCCGCCAGTTTCTTCCCCTCTCGGAAATGTCCCCTCTACCTAGGATTGAAGATTGTGGCTTTTCTGTTGGAAGAGAGATGTTTTAGCCCTACCAGGTTTGGGGAGATGGAGGCTTGGCCATGGGCATGAGATCCACCTCCGGTAGGGAAACCCTGTCCCTGAGCCAGGAGAACTTAGTATGGAATCCCTAAAGGCCAGGCAGGAAGGGAGCTTGGGGATCACTCAATCTCACCATCTGATTTTACCAACGAAGAGACAAAGGCCCAGGAAAGGTAGCTGTCATCAGGTTTGCGCCTGCTGGTGGCATTCTCCTGTGGCCCCCGACTCCCAGGTCAGCGCCTTCTATCCACTCACCCACTGGCCATAAGGTTTCCTTGAGCATCTTTGGCCTCTGACCTCCCTGGCTCCTAGGCATGCGAGCCTCCACCCTTGATCAGTTTCTGGGCTACCGAGCCTCAAATGAAAGCTGTCACTTTGACTTGATAAAGGGTCCCAATTCTGTGAGGCTCAGTGGGCAGAGCTAAAACCAACGGGGTAGAGTTCTGAGGGGGCAGCCGCTTAGCAGCTGTGTGGCCGGGGCAAGCGCTTTATCCTCTCTGCACCACAGAGTTCTTATCTGAACACATGGAATGACTAGCCCCATGTGCAGAGTTGTCAAATGAAATTCAAATGAAATAATCCATGTGAAGATGCTTAGGGTCATGCCTGTCACTCTAAGTAGTAGCTGCTATTACTGTTCTTGTTGCTGTCTAACTTACCTAGAAAAGCAGTTTAATGTTAAAGTGACCAGGATGAAAATGAGCTGCCTTGTGAAGTATTGAGATCGCTGACATTGGAAGGGCCCAAACCAGAGTTACCATGTACCAAGTTCCTGCGTTGGCCAGGAAGTGAGTCTAGGTGGCCCTGCAGTCCCTTCCTCTCTCTGTCGTCACTATAGAGGCAAACTTAGCAGAGGAAGTAGGCTCAGAGAGGTCACATACTGTGCCAAGGCCACACAGGACCAGAATCCAGGCCTCCTGCCTACACCTCCCTTTGGCAGATTATTTGCAGCAGCTTCAAAATTGGGAAAAAGAGAGGTCTGGTAGGATCTAAAAGGAGATGGATGTTGCTCAGTCATTAAAAGGAATGAAATTTTGCCATTTGCAGCAACATGGATGGACCTGGAGGGTATTATGCTTATTGAAATAAGTCAGAGAAAGACAAATACTGTATATATTTACTTATATGTGGAATCTAAAAAATAAAACAAATGAATATAATGAAATAGAAACAGATACATAGGTACTGAGAAGAGACTGCTGGTGGCCAGAGAAGAGAAGGTTGGGGGAGGGTAAAGTGGGTGAGGAGAATTAAGAGATACAAACTGCTGCATATAAAATAGGTTACAAGGATGCCATGTACAGTGCAGGAATGTAGCCAGTATTATGTGAGATTTTTCTTTTCCTTTTTGGTCACCCTACGTAGCATGTGGGATCTTAAGTCCCTGACCAGGATTGAATCCATGCAGTGGACGCACAGAGTCTTATCCACTAGACCACAAATAGTCTTACCAATGTTACTTATAACATCTTTATCTGGAGTATGATCTATAAAAAATATTGAATCTCTATGTTGTACACCTGAAACTAAATATTATAAGTCAACTGTACTTCAGTTAAAAAAGAGAAGGCAATGGGGGCATCCCCTGGGCTTTGAACATTTTCTCAGGCCAGCACTTGATGGAAATAGACTTGGGCTGATTTGTCTTCCTGGCCCTGCCCCGCTCCATGCTCCATGATGCCCCAGAAAGCAGGGGAGCACTCTGGTTGCAGGTCTGCAGGCTGAGCAAGCGGAGTTCACGGAGAACCAGAGAGCCTGCTGTACTATAACAAAATGCACTCTCCTCACTGCCTGCCCTTGGCCATGGCACCCATGATTTCAGGGCCAACAAGTGGGGTGTTGACCTAGCAGGAAGGACAGGGACCATTGATTTGCCTTCGCCCTAGCCGTTCTGGGCCTAAAATAAAAGGCAGCTCAGAAAGAAAGACAGGTGAAAGATGGCTCAGGGCCTGGGTCGAGGGTAGAAGCACCCAGGTCAGAGGCTCTGGAGTTGTCATAACTCCGGAGGGGAGGGTCAGGGTGCCTAGGAGGAAGTCCACCAAAGGTCTCGGGGTTGTGAGAAGAGCAGTTGAGGTATTAATAAGTTGCCAGTCCTGGACCAGAGACCACTGTTGGAGACAGGCTGGGTAGGAGGCGGTGGCTGCACACCCCAGGGAGTTGTGTGCAGCTGTTGGAAGCAACAGTTTCAATGCACATTTAGGTAGAGTTTGAAAACATGAGGCCTAGTGAAAAAAGTACAAAATGGAATAAGAGATTAGGTAATAATTTATGTAAAATAAAAATATACATGCCCATTGGTATAAAATAACACCATGCAATTTCTGTGGCCCACCCTGCAGAATAAACGGCCTGGGAAGTATTTTGTCAGACATCATTTATTGCAAGTCTGGCATTGAACCCAGGGAAGGGTACAAAGGGAATTGAAAGAATGATCTTTGCCCTCCATGAATTTGGAGACAGCCTGTATTTAGTGAGCAGCTACTGTATACCAAGGGCTTCCCACGTGGTTCAATGGTAAAGAAGCTCCCTGCCAATGCAGGAGATGTGGGTTTGATCCCTGGGTTAGGAAGTTCCCCTGGAGAAGAAAATGGCAACCTGCTCCACTATTCTTGCCTGGAGAATCCCATAGCCAGAGGAAGCTGGCTGGCTTCAGTCAATGGGGTCACAAAGATCAGACATAGCTGAGCGTGCATACACACACATACACACTGTATATACCAAGGCCCAGATATGCACCAAGACCAGTGGAGTGTGTAAGGTAGCAGCCAGTTAGCCACTGGGGCCAAATGGCCAGACACAGAGCCCTTTGGGGGTTCAGAGGTCAGTGTGAGCAGATTTTCTGCAGTCCATGCCGAATTGGGAGAGAGAGAGAGAAGGGGCAGTTGGAGTTATTTCTCAGAGGAAACTTGGACTTCATCCCCTCCCTCCCCTCGGGCTGCAGGTCACAAGGACTGGCCTCTGTGCGCCAGACAAGGGCATTTTCTAGCACCTGTGAGGAAGCGGAATCTGGAGTGATCCTCTGTCCCACCTTGGTGTCTCTACAGAGACCCACATTCCTGGGACCCCTGTAGTGAACACATGGGGATGCCCACACCTCCCTGGGGCCTCCCTCTTGGCCTGGGGCTGGTTCCTGTCCAGGTGAGGGGTATCACTGATGATGCCCCCGTCCCCACAGTGTGTACCTGCTGCTCCACCTGCAGGACCCGGAAAGGTGAGTACACAGCCAGCCTCCCTGCAGCGTGCGAGACCTGCCTTGGGAGGAGGCTCTAACCGTGAGCTGGTGTCTGACCTTGGGGCTCCCTTTCAGCTGCAGGGTCAGGGGGTGGGGTGGGGTGAGGAGGTTAACTCCTTAAAATAGCAAGTGTGTATTATCTTGCAGCGAATTCAGGGTAGAATTTGGGAGCAGCTTAATTGGGTGTCTGTGGCTCAAGCACTCTCAAGAGTTGTGGTCTGGGTGTCATTCAGGCCCACAGCTGTCTGAAGGCTTGACTGAACATGGCCAACTTGTGGCTCTTGGCTGGAGGCCTCAGCTCCTTTCCACGTGCCTCTCTGGGGGCTGCTTGAGCATCCTCACCACATGGTGGCTTCACCCAGGGTGAGTGATGCAGGAGAGAGAGGCCAGGTGGGAAGCCACAGCACCTTTTAGGACCTGGTCTTAGAAGGCACAAAACCACCACTTCTGCCTTGTTCTGTTTGTTGGAAGTGAGTCATTAAGTCCAGCCCATCCTCAAGGGGAGGGGAATTCATCTCCACCTCTTGGAGGGAGGAGTAACAAGTAATATGGAAATACTTTAAAACCATCACAGAGTCATAGTTCCCTGTGCTCTTGGTGATAGGAGTGCCAGGCCCTTACCCAGGTCCCCGGAAGTGATGGAGCCCTGCAGTTCTGGGGGTTTCAGTCCTTGTGCAGCCAAGGGAGCCCTGGTCCTGCTTTGCCACTTACCAGCTGTGTAATTATGTGCAAATCACCTAACCACCATAAGCCTGGGTTTCCTTCCAATAGAGGTAAAGCTCCCCGCTTCCCCACCTCACTGTGCAGCTATGACAATATCTGTGACAGGGCTTTTTGAAGAATGATGATGGTAACGATGCTGACCGTGATGGCCAGAAGGCCTCAGGGAGATGGGACCGGGCTCTCCTAGGCCTGGGCAGACCGCCTGCTGCCAGCCTCCCTGGGTGAGGGAGATGTCTGGGCTGTGTTGCTGTCTTCTGACCTGCTCCTGCTCTTTCCTTGATCTTAACATGTGAGGGACCAGAGATGGTGCTGGGCTAACCCAAGTCCCCCGTACAACCCCTTGAAGGAGTTTCCTTTGGCTCAGAAGGCAAGAGAGGCCACGCCTGGCCTGCGGCTGCTGGCGGGTGTGGGAGGTGGGGGAGGAGGGAGACAAGCCCAGTGCCACTGTTGCCTGCACCCCCAGCCCTGTTGCCGCCGAGACGTGGTTCATGCTTCCCACAGAAGTGGCGAGCAGGAAGGCATGGAGCTGTGTTCTAAGAAGGATCCTCTCGTCCCTTTATTTCTTCAGTTTTAAGACGTTTCCTTCTTTTTTTGGCCACACCACACGACATGGGGGATTTTAGTTCCCGGACCTGGATTGAACCTGTGCCCCCTGCAGTGGAAATGCAGAGTCTTAACCGCTGGACTGCCAGGGGAGTCCCTTAGACCAGTGGTCCCCAACCTTTCTGGCACCAGGGACTGGATTCATGGAAGACAGTTTTTCCATGGACTGGGGTTGTGGTGGATGCTTTCAAGATGATTCAAGCACATTACATTTATTGTGCACTTTATTTCTATTATTATTATATCAGTCTCCCCTCAGATCATCAGGCATTAGATCCCAGAGATTAGGAATCCCTGCCTTAGACATTTCAGCTCTTGGATTTTTAAAGGTCTGTAGAAGACCTGGGGGTTTCAGAGGCCATGAGCCTAATGAAAATAGATGGTCTAAAGTTTCCTGAGCAGGAGGCTGTGGGGACCATCGTCCTGCTGGAACAGAGGAGTGTACATATGCTCAACAAGGATGAAACAAACCCAGGGGCTGCACATAGCTGTGTCCAGCACTAGCACATAATACTCCGGTCTGCTGGATGCTGCTGCTGCTAAGTCGTTTCAGTCATGTCCAACTTTTTGTGACCCTATGGACCATAGCCCATCGGCTCCTCTGTCCATTACATTTCCCAGGCAAGAATACTGGAGTGAGTTGCCATGCCCTTTCCCAGGAGATCTTCCCAACCCAGGGATCAAACCCACATCTCTTACGTCTCCTGCATTGGCTGGTGGGTTCTTTACCACTGGTGCCACCTGGGAAGCCCGCTGGACACACCAGTTTGAGGAAAACAACCATCCCAGTGACCTCAGGCAGTTATGCTTATTTCTATCTAATCACCCTACAATTTGGAGTTTGTAAATACCTTAAGCCACTCAGAAAGGCTTTCCCTATGGGATCCTGTCATCTTGGGGACCTGGGAGAGGAGAGAAGCAGGTGGGTCTGCTCCATGCTGCCCTCTGGGAAGTCCCCCTCTCCTGCCACCCCCGCGACACCTGGTGATTTCATCATCAAAGCCTGCCTTTCTCGGACATAAGAATAGAAGTTAAAATAGAATTATCACTGGTGGTGAGCGTTGAGTAGAGTCTGGCCTTCCCGGGAGCTGTGGGGATGGGGATTGTTGGGGATGGGGCCGCAGGTAGGGCTCGGTGGAGGCCTCAGGCTGGGGTGGACCTGCTCAGAGTCATGATCTGGGAGCCTCTGCCCCAGCCCTGCCTTTCTCAGCCTTCTGAACATTCAAGGCCCTGGAGTTCTACCCTATCTCCCTAAAGTATGCTTGCAAGGAAACAGCTAGTGAGTCATCTGCACCATTTCCCTCTGTGATGATGGGAAAGCGCCTTGACTCTCCAGGCCTTAGTCGCCTCCTCTGTAAAATAGGGTGAGGGATTAAACTATAGGCTCCTGGGACCCCTCCAGTTCTGACCCATGAAGGGCGCTGGCTGTGAAGCGTCAGCAGATGGTGTTGGGAGAGGTGTGTCTCACATCTGGGGCTGGGGCACCGATGCTGCGGATCACAGATGCTCTGGTCAGAAGGGCCCTCCTGGTCCCCTGAAATGATTAAATGATTTTCATCTATGCCTCTCATGTCCCAAGAGAACTTTCTGCTCCATTCCTGCCTGTCACCGTCTCCTGTTGTTTCCTGCACATCTGTCTCTCTTTTTCTGTGCTTCTATTATTATCTCTGTCTCCCACCCCTACCGCACTTTCTCCCCGCTTTTCTCTCTGCCTGCCTTGATGTTATATAGAACTGAAGACTGAATTCTGTCACTGCTCGAAATAAGTCATAGAGGTGGGCCCCCCACCCCCGCTTTTTTAAATCAAGTAGATGGGACATATTTTTAAAAGCAGAATCATCCCTTTTTATCCTATTAAAAGAGAGAGAATTGCATCTTTTCATGAGAGGGGCCCTGGGGCAGTTTCTTCCCTCAGTAGCAGGAGCTGTCAGAGGTTTGGAGTGTGGGCAGTGAGTGAGTGTGTGTGTGTGTGTATGTGAGTGTGTGCACGAACACTCACACATGTGTGTGAGTTTCATCCCCAAAGATCCTTCCTTAACAGGATATTCTTTCCTTTCTCTTCGGTGGCTGTTGGGGACTCAAATGTAAGTGGTCCAGATAGGCGTGCTCTCCTCAAATGTGTTTGCTGACTTTGATTAATGGCTCCCACTAATGTGTGCTGTGTGGAAGTGTTCGCTAACCCGGAGTGTTTGCTGCACTGGGGGAGGGGTGTGGGGAGGTCTGGGGCTCCTGCAGATGGATCTGCTCAGCCTTGAAGGGCTGGGAGTTTCTCCCTCCTTGCACTCCCCACAGAGAGAAGAGGTGCTGCCACTTTCCAGCCTGCTCTACGCACGTTTGCTAACACAGAAAGTAAGCCAAGGCCACACACTCATTCCCCCACTGAGGAAAATTAGAGTGATGCCTGTCTTTTCCTGGAGACCACCCAGCCCTGGCCACCATAGTCAGCTCTGTGGGCTTAAGGGCTTGGCTGCCATCCCCTGAGGTTTGCAGGTGTGGCCATGACTTTGCATGAGATACTCCCCTCATACAAGTTGTCTTCAGGAGCCATCAGATTATTAAGATGTAGACAGTAGCACCCTTTTGGGTGAGGACCTGGTGGATCACAAATTCTGTTTGGATGTCCAGCAAGAGGAGCGCTGAGGAGGCCCAGCGCCACATTTCTGCTCAGCCACTGATTTTCATCTGAGTGCCCATAAAGATGGGACCATGTTCGTGGGGTTTGTTTCTTCACTGATACTCCTCCCTGTGCCCTAAGGGATTTAAGTCTGCTTGTGGAAATACAGATGATAGATTAAACCAAATAAGAAAAATGAAGCTTGGAGGGGAAGGGAGGAGGCAGGTAAGATGGAGTCAGAACGAGAAGAAAAATATAGGCGCTTGTCATGAAGTCATAGACAGTCTGAGATGCTGGGCTTCCTCGCAGCCAGCACAAAGAGGGAAATGCAGTTAAGCAGTTCATTGTCCAACTTCCCTGGTGGTCCAGTGGTTAAGGATATGCCTGCTAATGCAGAGGACATGGGTTCGATCCCTGATCTGGGTAGATCCCACACGTCACGGGACAGCTAAGCTTATATGCCACAACTACTGAGTCTGTGCTCTAGAGTCTGGAAGCTGCAGCAACTGAGCCCATGTGTTGCAACTATTGAAGCCCACATGCTCGGAGAGCCCATGCTCTGCAACAAGAGAAACCACCGGAATGAGAAGCCTGTGTGCTGCAACGAGAGAAAGGCCATGTGCAGCAACAAAGATCCAGCGCAGCCAAAAATAAATAAGAGATTCATTGTCACAGCTCAGAAGACATCTGGAGGCTCAGAGGCTCAGCCTGTCTTACAGTGTTTCGTCTCCTGGGTCCCGAGAGTCAAGCAGAATATTACAAACAACATTCTTGGCAAAAACTCTCCACGAACACAGTGACCAATAGGATTCTCCTCTTTTCAACAGGTTCTCTCTGTGTCTTCTATTAGAAGATACTTCCGGTCCCCAAGCTGCCCACACTGACTTCCTCACTCCCCACCTCTGCTGCGTTGAAACCTTATTTCCCATTCCTGCCTGGATCTCTGGACTTCCCTTGATCCATCACTCCTGGTGGCCCTTCTTTTCTACCATTTCGTCCATGCTAAAGGATGCAGTGGAGAACTAACTCAAAGCATTTTTGCTTCTTTCTTGAGATGGCACTTGTTGTTATTGTTATTCTGACAGTGTGAGTTCACTGCTCAGTCCCAGTGAGTCCAGACTGGGTGGGCAGCCTGAACTGTTCCATGCCTGAGGATCTTTTGGTGACTCTGGGCTGCCTTCTGAACCCCAGAGTGATATGTTGAGGGAAAGCCTTGGCCCTGAATTTAGAGGGACCCTCATGTGCAGAAGCACAGACTCAAACCCTAGTCTGCTTTCAATATGGGGGATTTTGTGCTGGGGCAGACCTGGGCAGGTTGCTTCTGCCCTGGTCTTTTGGTCCTATGCAGGCCCGCCTCTTTGTTCTCCTGTTAGGTGTTCAGAGGAATGTCCTTGTGATGGGTGTTGAGTTCTGTTTGGGACAAGGGTGGAGCCCTCTGAGATGATGTCAAGACTCCACCTCTTTTAGTGGATGGGTGGCCACTGTGGGCGCAGTCCTGGATCAGCTGCTCAGAGGGACCAAGGAGGATTAGCCATAGCTCAGGCCACTTTCTTTGAAGCTGAGGCAGAAACTGATGGACAGGAGAACCAGGGCTCGAGGCACAAGCCATGTGGTACACATCCCAAGACCTTTTGGGTGAGTTGATAGGCTGGGGAAGACCAGAGCATTCAAGGAGGGCCAGACTGACCAGTTTTCACATTTATCCATCTTAACGATGCAGCTGACTTGGGCAGGGGAAGGGACCAGAGAGAGCCTAAACCCAGAGGAAACAGGCTGGGGGATGCACAGGAGCAAAAAATGCAAAGAAGGGTTAACATTCTCAGGCTTGGCTCTATCCTGTCTCAGCTGGTCACTCCAGTCTACAATTCGGCTTTGAGATTCTTGGTTAAGACAACTGTGCTCCCATGCTGCCCCCTGCTGTTTGTTTGGAGTATAGCAGCAATGACTGGGAAAGCGGCTCAAGACTAGGCTCCCGCTATTGGTTTTATGAAGTCCACACTGGATGCCGTCATACCCCTTTTGATGGGGAGAACACATTTGGTGGCTGAACATGTTTTTAGGGGAAGTAGCAGGGCGTCCCTGAAAGAGCTCTGGTTTCTGTCTGCAGGCCTCAGGTGGTCAGATCAGGTGATCTGAGGGCCCCCGGCTCTGCTTTCTGTGGTTCTAGGTAAAAACAATATATGAAGCCTAGAAAGATATGTCTCTGAGTGTCAGATAGACTGGGACAGGAAGTATTTTATATCTTGACTGAGATAGGATCACGTGGCCAGATGACATGGAACATGCTCCACCTTCGATGTTGCAGAAATACTCAGTGACGTGAAGCTGAAACTCCAATATTCTGGCCACCTGATTTGAAGAGCCGATTCATTGGAAAAGACCCTGATGCTGGGAAAGATTGAAGGTGGGAGGAGAAGGGGGTGACAGAGGATGAGATGGTGGGATGGTATCACCGACTCAATGGATGTGAGTTTGAGCAAACTCCAGGAGATGGTGAAGGACAGGAAAGCCTGGCGTGCTGCAGTCCACGGGGTCGCAAAGAGTCGGACACGACTGAGTGAACAACAACAACAGTGACACAAATAAGTTCTGGAGTTTTCCACGTGCATTAGTCATGGCAGACCAAAACAGGAATCTCGCTGCTGCTTTTGAGGGGAAGACTGCTGCTTTTCCGATTCTCTTTCCACCAGTCTCCTTTGCTTCTCTGTCTAGCACTTGGCCTTTGAAATGAAAAATCTACATTGCTTAAGGTTCTCTCTGAAGGCTTCCTGGCATTTTACATCCTCTCTCTTAAGGACAGCTCGCAGCTGTATGTACAAATATAATTAAGGCACTGTCAGCTTGTATGTATCATGCAGAAAACTGTGTCACTCCCCTCCCGAAGTCACTGCCGCCATCCTTTCCAGAGGATATTCTTCCCCCCTGGTGTTCTTCTGGTGTGGCCTCTCAGCTCTGAGCTGTAGGGTGTGATCCATCTGTTAAGACAGAGGTACCCCCGCCTGGACTCCCACCTCCTCCTGGTAGCTTGTCAGTACATTCTGAAGCCTGCACTTGTTCCTGTGCATAGTGTCTCACCGTGCAGTGATCCTGGATCCCCTGCAGTGTCCTGGGAAGATGTCGGGGCCTCGGTTCTCCTAACTGGCCTGGCTTGCCATGCTGTGTGCCTAACCTCGGCCTGCCTGTCTTCGCTCCTTTCTTCACTGATGCCACCTTGCTGTACTTTGTCTCCCCTGCGTAGATTGTAAATGGCCATTCAGTGGTTGAGGGCGATGTGGATGAGGGTGGTGTAAAGGCCTGGGGGCCCCACCAGGTCCAAAACCCATTGGCGTTTTCTGACGAGGAGGAGGAAGACCTGCTGGACTTCATGTACAAGTTTAAAGCACCTCGAAAGACGGAGTTCCCCCTGGAGGTACACGGTATCGGGGGCTGCGGGGTGGAGCGTGTGTTTACACAGAGGGCTTTGCCCTGGAGGTCTGGGCTCCTGGGAGTGGCATCTCTTGGGATACCCAGCATCTCCTGGAGGAGGGGAGACCTCCCTCCAGCAAACAGGCAGGAGCAGCCACTAGGTAGCATCTAGCTACTTGCCAAGGGGTGAAAAAGACTCTACCACTTTTATTTGGGAATCGAAGAAATGAGGTCATGTCTAGGGATTAAACAAAACAAACAAAATACCCAGCTACCAACTGAAGATGATGCGTGAGTGAAAAGCAACCCAAATGAGTGTTTTGGGGGAGAGAAAAATTCAGAATGTCTTACGACCTGTCTTTATAAATAGAGCTTGTTCATCTCTCTATCTCCATGTCACAACATAGTGACGGATACAAAATATTGGGTTAGCCAAAAGGTTTGTTCGAGTTTGGAAACACCCAGACAAACTTGTTGGCCAACCCAGTAGATGTTCATAAAATGTTATTAAAAGGGCACGGCCAAATGAGCAAAACAATACACTTGATATACGTACTCTGGCCAAGTACGGACATAGATGGAATTTTGGCAGCAGGAGGCCAAGCCTAGAGCCTCAGGTCATTGCTCTGGGCAGGGTCACAGCCTTGGGCTTGGATGCAGGGCCTGCAAAATTGGGGGACCCCAGAGTCTTCCTCTCTGTTTCATCAGGTCTCCCCTCCTTCCCCTTCTGCTGAACGCTGCAACCTGAGAGTCCAACTGAGGCAAGTTGGGAGCCCCCCTGCCCTCAGTGCAGAGACCCTTGTGAGACTCAGGTGAGGCAGTGTGTGGACAAGCTGCCCTTCTCCAACACAGCAGCCTGGCGGCCTGTTCCCACCAGGGCCACAGCTGTTCCACCGCAGAGCGCATGCGTTCATCAGATTCCTTCCCAAAGTGGGGCACGCAGGGGTCCAATTTTGAACTGAGAGGTTTTGGTAGAAGATATTCTGGGTTTGGACTCTGTCCAAGGAGTCCTTTACAACCCAGCCAGCCCCATGATGGGGAGAGGGACGCAGCCCGGAGGGCATGCAAGGTGCTAGAACCATTCTAGGTCTGGAGGGTTTGTGCCTCTTTTTTTTTTTTTTTTATGTGGACCATTTTAAAAGTCTTTGTTCAGTTTCTTACAACATTGCTTCTGTTTTATGGCTTTATGTTTTGGTTTTTCAGCCACGGGACATGCAGGATCTTAACTCCCTGACCAGGGATCAAACCCACTCCCCCTGCATGGGAAGGGTGAAGTCTTACCCACTGGACCAGGAAAGTCCCTGGTTTTGTTTTTTAAAACCGCCCACGTTGCTTTACTGTTTTTGGCTAAACTGCCTGAGGCAGGTCACTGATTCTTCCCTCATTCTGACCAGAGGTGGCTGGTAAACGCTCCCACCATTCAGGTGTGGAGGGAGGACTCAGTGTTTGGAAGGCCAGAGCCTTCTGTTTGTGCTTGCTTTCCTCCCGCCTCCCTTCCGAGCACCCACTGGGCACGGAGCTCCTTGCTGGGAGATGGTGGTGCATTTCCTGCCCCCAGGAAGGCACAGTGTGGCCAAGGAAGACAGTGCGCAGAGCAGGGGGAGCGTGGGCATCTGTCTCTGATGCCCTGCCAGCTGCTAAACAGTGTGAGAACCAAGGAGTTGATCCTGGCTGTGACTGGGCCGTGGGGGTGGGTCTCAGGAGTGACTTTGGAGCTTGTTCCTAAGAGGACTAGAAATAACCAGACAGAGAAGGGAGAAAAGGCCTCTGGTCAGAAGGGATGGAGATGTGAAAGGAGAGTGTAGAAAACTAAGCTGAGTATGGAGAAGTGGACAGATGGGGGTTGAGGGTAGGTCAGGGCCAGTGGTGAATCCCCTTGAGGGCACTATGCCAGGAGAAAGTATTCCCCTTTTCTTTAATCATGACGTAGCATTCCCTGTGATCTGCGTCCCATGGGAGGAGGGGGTCCCTTGATAGCCATTGGTAGGGGAGATGAAGTAGAACTCTTCGTGCCTAAAGCCAGTGTTTCCTGTGTTGTTTGGTTTGCTTGTGCATGAAAGGATTTCACATCTGGAAATTCAGTGATGGAAATTTTAAGCATGTACCAAGAAAGGCGAGGCCAGTTCCCAAAGGAAATAACAAAGACCAGGGAAGCGACAGGGAGGCCTTTCTGTCTGCTGAGTCACTTGTTAAGATCATTTTGCTCCCAAGGCAGAAACAAGTTGTATCATTCTTCCATGCAACTGTGCACTCGGGAGGTGCAGGGACTTAGGAGAGCATGAAGACGGGGGCACTGGGCTCCTCCACTGGCTCAGCTCTATGGGGATGCTTGGGAGGCCACTCTGATTGCTGTGGTGGAGACCCCAAGGGGGTCCCCAGTCCCACCAGCCTGCTCACACACATGAACATTTGACTCGAGGAGCTGAAGTCCCAACACAAACCCTTCCAGGTACTGTCCTCAAACGCGTTCGTGTTTATACCAAATGGAGGGGTCAGTCCTGTTTCTGTTTTCTCTGCCAGGCACCGCCTAGAATCCTTCGATCTCGCTTCAGGAAGAAAAGTACCTCATCCTCGGCCACTGAAACCACGTGAGTGAGATGAGCCAACAGCACCGGATCCACAGAATGTTTCTTCTCTGCCTTAAAGAGCTATTTATTCACTAACCACATAGAAAACCGCAAGCTGGTGTGCCCTGTGACAGCCTCGGACGTGGCCTTTCCTCTCTCCCCTCTAAGAGCACCCCCTTTCCTTTTCTTTATTTTGTTGGGGAGAGGATAAGGGAAAGGTAGTGTGTGGGGGGTGTGATCTTAGGTCTTCTGAGGTTAGTCATTTCCCACCATTGGATTGGCAGACAGACAGCAGTGTTTTTAGAAGAGAATCCCCCCACCAAGCTGCTGAGATGTACATTTGTAACTTATTTGTTGCATACTTTGTTTTTAGTCCTATATATGCAAACAAAGCAATTTTTTAAAAACTTTTTTTTTTTGGTTCTTGATACTAATACTTTGGACTACGATGTACATATTTATGGCTTTTGACTTGATACCATGGACTTGCAAAAGCTGCCAGAGGTTCTGATGTATAAGAAAACTGCAAAAACAGAAGCATAAAAGATTAATTCTGGAGGGTGTCTCAGATGTGCTTACGAAGCTTCCAAACACACCTCAAGGACATCCGTTTTTCCTGTAGGGCGATGCTCCGTATTCTTCAGTCAGTATACCAGAGAAGTTTAGAATGGAGACATGATATTTCAGTACCAGAGGTGGGTATGAAGTCAGGGGAACATCCTAGAATAAGGGAAAAGTCACAGGAAGCTTGTCTCCCCCATGGGCACAGGATTAGGAGCTTCGGAGTCCTTCCAGGGTGGGGACTTCTCATTGCCTTAGGCAGGTTGGCTCACCTTTGATAGAAATGTTCGGGGATGTAAACTCCTGGGATTGTTGTGACAAATCATTGAGTGTTTATTTCTCCTTCATAGTACCCTGCGCTGTGACTGGCAAAAATTAACCAATCCACCCAAACAAAACCAACCCTAGAACCACGCTTTGTTTCAGATGCTCCGTGAAGCACATCTGAGACGTCTGGGTAACGATCCCAACCCTGGGTTCTAAGAGGTTGTAGAGGTTGCATCTTCACGAATGTGACCTGCTGCTCAGCTCCACGGGCAGTGGTGGCTCGCGCCCTCTGTTTGCTTCCTGGCTTGTGTGGAGTGTGAGCCAGAGAGAAGTGGCACGTTCACGGGCACTTGTATTTCATACAGGCCCACTTCTTTTAGGAAGAGAACAAAGCGCCGTCTGAGGCGACTCCCTAATTAGACTGAGAATTTTATCTGAAATGAAGAATCTGGCTGTAATAGCATCTTGGTCAGAGGCGGCTGCTCCCCACTGGGAGCGCCGAGCCTAAATGTAGGACTCATCTACTTGTGCTTAGAATTGATGTTTCCTTTCAGTGTGATGCATGCAGTGGTCGCGACCCAGTTACTTATTATACTTGGATTGTGTTTGTTCATAGATAGGCCCTGAACACTAGAGAATTAGTGTCACGTACCACATAGAACCTACTGTCAGTCAGCTATAAGCAGGCCCAGTTAGAGACAGTGGCATGACTGAGCTACACAAACCTACATCAGTCTTTCCTGATGACACATTGCCTGGATCTTAGCCACATCGGAAAGGGTTTTACTTGAAGTTGTCATCTACCAGATTGCAAATTTAAACCCCTTTTCCTCATAATGCCTCTGAAGGTGATTTGGTAATTTACAAAAGGATTTAGGAAAATAAACCTAAAAGCAAATGTGGGGTTCAGGAAAGCAAACAGAGTCTGGCTGTTTAATGTTTGTGCCCCATACCCATCAATACCTAAATCTGTTAGTGAAGACAGAAAACCTGTTTTCTTCAAGCTCACAGAGTAGTTTCAAACAGAGGAAAAATATATGCTTTAAAATGTATTTACCTGTTATTGGGAGTACCCAGAATTATCAGAAACAAATGCAAAAAAAAAAAAAACAAAACTTATTAAGCAGCTTTTTAGCAACTTTTTTTTCTTTCCTGGCCAAAATAATAAATGCCTTTAGCAGCAGAGATTAAAATCCTATTGTAAACAAGCTATATTTTCACCATTTTACAGTGGAGAGTTTTAACAAGTATGGGCTCTCAAGTTTGCACTCAACGATGCCAAAAACGAGTTTGAAGCACTCTACTCTCAGATAAGCTGTATTACTTCTCATTTAAGATTTTAAAAAATAGAAAGCACCCAAACTGCTGTCTTAATGTAACTATTTTTCCTTCAGGTGTTGCTTAGGGAGTTGGTTTCTTTCTTAAAAACACTCACAGTACAACTGAGAGCAGCTGTCATATTTCTGGCAAAATGTGTTTACTTGCCCAGCAAGCTGTATATTTGTGTGGACTGACGTAAAAATGTGAATGCCTCCAAGTGTACACATAGTGGTGTGGAGTTCTGTCGAGACGATAAAGTTGAATGTTTTTAATTTGCTGATTTACAGACACGGGCTGTTTACAAAATGCTAATGGAAAGTCTGTACCTTTCACGTAGTAAATTTTTCTTTGCTTTTGAGCACCTGTTCTGTTTCTGAGGAGACGAGAGAGGGTGTTGTACTTACAAACTGGAGAGTTAGGCATAATCCCTCCTGGCTTTGTGTGAATAGCTTGCTCACTTTGCTGGCCTCTGAATTGTGTGTTCTCTATAGTAAACTGTCCATGTGTCTGTGATAACAGTGCTTGTCAACCATGACCATCATTGAGTACCTTCCTAGTTGTTCATCTTGCACAGCACTGGAAATGGTAAAGGATGTGCTTCATTCGTGAACGACAGGCACCAGAGGGCTGGTGTTCTGGATGGTGACTGTGCACACTCCCCCTTAGTTTATCTCTGTAATCCTATAGGACGATCTGTAATCAAATAGTATACTGGACTGTGCATCAAAGGGATGTAAAATTACAGTATTCCAAAGGTTGAAGTTCTGTTTTGTTATAATGCCTGATCTATATCTTGAATAAAGTCTTAACATGTTTCTTTTAAAAGATATCTTTGTAAATGTTGGGCTTATGAAAAAAGAGAACATCCTTTTAAAAAAATGTATTTGGGCTTCCCTGGTGATCCAGTGGTTGAGTCTGCTTTGCAATGCAAGGGACACCGGTTTGATCCCTGGCCCAGGAAGATCCCACATGCTGCGGAGCAGCTCAGCCTGTATGCCACAACTCCTGAGCCTGTGCTCTGGAGCCCACGTACCTAGAGCCCGGGCTCTCCAACAAGAAAAAGCACTGCACTGAGAAGTCTGTGCACTGAAACCAGAGAATGCGCGCTGCAGCCAGAGAAAACCATGATGGCTCACCACAGCCAACAAATAAACAATATCTTTTAAAAAAATGTATTTATGAGCAAGGAGTAGAAGCTGAATGTGTAGTCACTAACGGGCCTGGTGTCTGGGCTCTGCGCGTACTGCATAGAATTGTTGCAGAGAGGAAATAGTAAATGCTATCAGAGCTTTGAAAACCAATTGCTCACATAAACATTCATCTGGCAGTATGTTTGTTTTACATTTTTAAAGATCACCAGTGGAAACTAGGTAGCTGTGAAAGCAGAGCAGTTCTGCTGGAAGGCAGTTTCAATTGTGCAGACAGACCTTTGGTCTGCTGCCTTCCTTTTTGGAACCTGCTCTCTTATCTGCCAATGTGGGAGAACGTGTGCAGGTCAGAAGAGGGCATTGCACATGGAGATGCACCAGGTGGTGTGGAGGCCCTTAATGCCACTACAGCCCTCACCTTAAGACAGAAACAGGTACATACACGCTTCAGTGGGTGGTCACAAAGACTTAGAAACTCAGAAACATCACAATGAAACTCGCTTTTTCTTTGCTTTTGTAGTCCTAAACGTTTGACACGAGGACTGTAAAGCATAGGCTCAGCAGGTAAAGATGATTCCAAGACGGACAGAAGAGATCAAAGGAAGGCTGAAAATCCACTCATTCATTCATTTACTGAGCCAAGTCCATGGTCGATGGAAATGCGATTAACCAGGTTAAGAAAATGTAACAGAAAAGCAAAGTTATAAAATTTAAAAGCTGACTTGGTTCAGTGTCATGAGAAGTGTTTAGTATTCACGGTGCTAGATTTCAGTCACTTGTGGATTTCAGTGTGAATTTTCAATGTTGTTGCAAGACTTGGAAATACACAAGGTTCCAAGGAGACAACCTGGGTTCTGGGACTCACTTGCTGTACTTTGAGTAATGTGTTTCCCTTCTGTGAATTTCAGTTTCTGCACATCTAAACTAGGGATGGATAGTGTCACCCTCTTTCTTGGAAGGGTGATAAGAGGGTTTGCTGTTTTGTGGCTACATGTTGAGACATAGTAGGTGCTTAATAAATTACACTTTTACATATACTTGAACGTCACTTATATAGACCTTTAATAAGATATCTTGTTGTCAAACTACAAAATTAGTGTCTGATAAGCCTGCTACCCACAAAACAAAAATTATATATGTGAAAATTCCTTTTCCTAAATCCAGTTAGCCCTTCCACTTCAGTCCATCTCTGGCTGCTGGGCCCGTCCTCGTCTCTACCTCTCCTGTCACTGGCCTAGAGGGGAACCAAGGTGCTCTGAGTCCCCAAGACCTGCTTGTGCACACTGCATTAAGAAGTCACAGAGACGTGGGAAAGGCTCTGTAGGGCACCAGCTGTATCCCGCTTCCAGGGGTGAGCAGAAGAGGTAAGGAGCCAGGCCAGTGAGAAATGATGGGGAGCCCTTGTGAGGGATGGGAAGCAAGTGGAAATGAAAACTCATCAGAACAGAAAGCCATCCCATGCTTCAGACTCTTGAGATTCTCATCTCAAATCAAATGTCTGTTCTTTTTCAATTGGTCCCATAAATAGACACACACTTGGTGGTGGTGGTGATGGTAAAGTTGCTAAGTCGTAACTGACTCTTGAGATCCCGAGGACTGCAGCCCACCAGGCTCCTCTGTCCATGGAATTCTCCAGGCAAGAATGCTGCAGTGGGTTGCCATTTCCTTCTCCAGAGGATCTTCCTGACCCAGGGATCGAACCCGTGTCTCTTGCATCACAGGGTGGTGTCTTGCATTGTAGGTGGATTCTTCACTGCTGAGCCACGAGCGAGACCTGACACACATTTGGCCTTGCAGTTTTAAAACACTCTGTTGTCACCCTTTTTCCTTTTAATGAACACACTAGTTTCAAGGAATTCCTCCAATAACCCAAGTCTGATATGCCACAGAATGTCAATTTGGTTATATTTTAATTTATTTGAACTACATCTTATCATCATCAACTATTAAAGGATCTGAAGCAGTAACTGAAGTATAATCGTATATAATAACGGTTTTCAGCCAGGCAAAATGCTGTTGTTTCAACATGCTTCCCAGATGATTCTGATGGGAGGGCTGAGAACCACTGCCCTAGACTGTAACCATCCTGGAAAACAGAATTTTCCTCAGTGCTGCTTACCTGGTCCTCTTCAAGTGAACAATGCATCATGTATCATTTCTAAAAATGATTGAAATTACCTTTTCCCCTTTACATTCTACAATGTGGAAAATTTTGGAAAACATTTACCCTCACAGTTAAAAATGTGAAACCTCAAGGGGATAAATTAACTTTTATGAAATATAGTATCTTTTAACTCTTGGTTAAGAAGTTTTTGTCTCCATTTATATAGCCTCTTTATTTCATGAATGGGCATACTGAAAGGCTATTTCATCTATGCTTCTCTCAACAAAAAATCTTGTTCCAGTAAACTCAGTGATAACTGTTTACCTGGTATACTAGGTGTATGTTATCACCCCAGGCTCACCTCTGAGGGAAGCTGCTCACATAACTATCTTTGGCTCTACGTGAACCTCGAGCATAATCAAATGAGCCAGTGTGGGCTCCTGACCTAAGAAAAGTCAGTTCTTACATAGATTGGTCAGTGACCCATGATGAAACTGAATATAAAAAGACAAACTGGTCCTATTAGAGTCTCTTGGTAATTAGAGACGGGAGACTGGAGCTGAGGGTCATGATGTAGAAAAGAACCTCAAAGGTGCAAGCTAGCATTATTATGAGGCAGCAGACACTAGAATAAACAGCAGCTGTGAATCAGAGGAGTTGGAGAGGAGAGAATGGAGCCAGTGATGTAAAAAGAATTTAGTCACATGCATGGCAGACCACCCAAGCCTAAAGAGCCACTGTTTCTGCCGCTGAGGCCCCTAGAGGTGCCTTGGACCCAGAATCACCCTGTAATTTCTACTCTCCCTGAGGCCTGGGGGTTAGTTCTGGGTGGTGTGAGGTACTCCTGCATTTCTGACACATGTCCTTAAAATAAAGTCACACTGCTTGAACTAACTTGTTAGCTTTACAGTCTTTTCATGTCTGTCCCAACTGGAGATGCCTTGCAACTAAATAAGCCTAATTGGAACAACTAGTTAAGTCATTGCCATTTATTAAAAATAATCAATAATTTAAAATTTATATTTCCCCAAACAAATCTGGGAATGTTTAATCCATTAAGTTTTAAAACATTAAGTTTAATGTTGGTACCCCATGTTTCAAGTATCAGTTGGTACAATTTACATCATGTCTGATACCACTTCATCTTTGCAAAGACACCGTACACACACAAATACACAGTTAACAACTGAGAAATCATAGATCTTCTGATCTATACTTTCAAGTTTGTTCGATCATGATACATCTGATAAGGATCATCAGCATACCAGTTTCGCCTCTTCCAGAAAGACGTTGTCATTTTATCTAAGAGCTTACTCTGGGTTTTACTGCAGAAGACAAATTCCCTCAAGCGTCTTTTTCTTGCAACCGTCTTTTTCCATAATTTTTTCTTATAACCAGCCTGTTAAGATAATATTACAGAGACATTTACAACATTATATTATATAGAAAAAAACAGATTATCTTCACTACTTATGGTTTATAGGCCCACTGGGAACAAAGACTAAACTTTCATAGGGGCTGGTATGTTTTTTCAGAAAAATACAATTCTCAATGCAGGGGAGGCAGAGAAAGCATGCATAGTTTGTAAAACAAATATTAATAACTTCAACGGTTTTAAACAGATTATTTAAAGTCACAGAAAATAAAGCTAAATAAATTGTGGCTTGTGAAGTACAGGGTAATGATACACAATTTTAACGGCTAACTTTATATGCATTACTTTATTATCTCTTGAACAGCAGTGTACTATTATTCTGATTTTACAGATAAAAGAGAAACAATTAGAGCAATTAAGTAGCAGACTGAGGTCCCAGAACTATTTAGAGTTCTTAACCGCTACACTACTCTCTTCCAAATGTCAAGGATAATGGAGTACTAGCTAACTGGTGACACTTATGTTCATTTATGGGAGCTAAGTATTACAAGGGCTGAGAAGCAGAGTTCTCAAGTATACTATGTCATTTATCCTTTTCACACATGGGGACTAGTTTCTATAATAAGTACTCTTTTGAGAAATAATGACTACAGGAAAACTATTAGGAAGAGTGCTGAAGGAATAGTTACTCCATATGTTTAATCCAGAACTGCCATATATATCATCCATACATTATTAATTTTGAAGAATTTCTGAAGAAACAGATAATGAGATTGAATATAAAAACTATAATCATAGCCTATTTATTTTCTTTTCTCTTTTTTATTTTTTTGGCCTTGTGGCTTGTAGAATTCCCCGGCCAGGGATTGAACCTGGGCTCTTGGCAGTGAAAACATGAAGTCCTAATCACTGGACCTCCAAGAAACTCCCAATCATAGCCTATTTAAAGTAGAAGAGACCTCAGGTGCCATCCAGGTTAATGCTTGGCTAAAATCATACAGTAATTTACAGGGAAGGTTAGACTAGAACCTGAGTCCTTGGCTCTTACCAAGTGAACAAAATGCCAAGTGAATTGGCAATTCACAAGCATGCCAAGTGAATAAAACCACAGCTCTCTGACGGGAAGGTGCCGTGGGTTTCACATGCCTTAGTGTCATCGTGTGGTTAGCAACTTCTAGAGTACAGTGATGCTTAGAAAGAAGGAAGGATTATTTCAGAGTTTTGACTTTACAATGCCAGAGATTAGATGGTTACTTCTCATTACTTACAACTTTAAGTTGAAAGATTCAAAGCAAAATCCCCCTATCTGTTTAACAAGTTTTCTAGTTTGCAAGCCAAACTGGGTCCCTGTGGATCTGACAGCTAGCTAGCTAGCTTACTGTCCTGCCCCGTCACCAAGGGAATTATCTCCTTCAAAGATTATTCTGTGGAATGTGGCCACTGAGAAAGTGCTTGAGACTTCTTAGACAGTCTCTAGGGTCAGAAATGGAAGGAGGGAGTAAAGACTAAATTAGGAACACTTGGCTGAAACTGCTGCAGAAAATAAGTTGTTTTTATACAAATGTTTTTATGTTTTTATTTTTTATATATAAATATATATATTATATTTATATTTACACTATTTAGACTAACTTATATAAACATTTATACAAATGTTTCTACTAATGTTTTTATACATTAGTGTAAATTAACCCATCTGGATATTTTTGTTTTCTTCTTAAAATCAGATGTTGATGAAGCAGGCTGTTCTGTATATGGAATACTTTGGGGGGTCTTGAGCAGGGGCTAGGTATTATGACTGGGGAGCTTAACCAGGTCATTTATAATAGTGAGAGGGTTTCAGAGCCCAATACAAGGGATTGTGGAAAGGAAGGCAAAGAAGACCAGCCATTTCATTTTGTCTTGGGTCACATGTGGACCTAGAAATAATTACTAACAAAGGGGAAGGAATGTTTCCAATGGCACAGAATTCACAACTATCTGCTGAATTACATAGTTCAGGTACTTACGGATTACATGAGCTTCTACTGACTAGTGTAAGAAATTAACTACCACAGGATTGTTCCAATGGAGAAATGAGCTAAGAGTGCCAGTCAACTTATTTGTCTACAAATTTAGGATAGTTTATAAGACAGAAGATAATCCTTTCAACCGTTCAAATAGTGAGACCATCCTACCAATTATTTTATTTTCACAGGGAAACAAATTTTGACCTTTAAAGAATTGCTTGTTAACTTCCAAATAGTAAAAGGGAATTAGGATTTTAATAGTTATCAAAAGTGTCCTAGAAAACTCAGGTCTTCAGCTGCTTTCTAATTATTACCCATTCTGCTTCCATGAATATTTAAGGACATGAATGAAAAAGCCCACATTCACTTTTACCACCTGTTGCTGCAGGAGAAGACAGAACAGGAATAATCTGTAATCTGTCAGAGTCCTCCTCTAGAGGCTGTGGTCCCTGGTCAGAATTAAGAACTAAGAGTTCTGTCTGATACAGTTGCCAGTCATACACACCAACAGACAAAAACTTGTAAAGTTAAAAAAAAGAAGGGGGGGCTTATGAGGGGCTACTATTCTGTCATAAAGATTAAGTCACCTTGAGAACCTAATCCAAGGTCAGCTGGAAGTGCTTCAGTCCCAAACCTCGCCATGGGGCTAAGTCCTTGAAGTCTGCTCTGCTGTTTCAATGCTTGGAGCTTAAACAGAGCCTCCCTACAAGATACTGCACATCAGGAGCCTCAAAGGAATTCTAGTAATCTTTAGATAAGCCAGATGTGTAAGAGACCTGAGATGAACCTGTTTTTCAGTATAGACTTCTGCCATTGTGAATAATATTTTGTTACATGAATGCTAAAACATGTTTTCTTCACATGGATTCGCTTACATGAAGAGATGCCCACAAAGCTGGGACCCAAGCACAGCACCGTAAGACCTACTGCTAAGATGTGGGGAAGATGTGTCAAGGAACAGGCTAACTGAATTTTGCGTCAGTTTCATCTAACCTCACACTCCTTTTTTAAACAAGTCACTATGTGAAGACTCACCTTCCTCCTTAGCCACAGGCCACTATGAAGTCGAAGAAACCTATAGATGACAGCTTTCACAGTCTTCCTCTTGCCTTTTCTTGAACTGTAGTATGTTACAGTTCTGACTGGTGGCTTCAGGATGTTTGGGAGCAAGAGGGCCATTCTAAAACACATTTAAAAAATTTAAACTCAGCAACAAGACACTAAAGGATAAAATCCACTTCATAGAAATGAAAGAAGCAACTCCACTGGAATAAAGCTGACTCTCAATATACACTGCTACTTCAAATGATCCATGATGCTACCCATAAGAATAGCAATTATCATCAACTTGCAAGCCCTCCATAATCTACTCCCTTAATCCCTACAGAAGAATTTATGCAGGTATAGCTTAATCACCTGATTTCTTACCCACCTGCCCACTAGATTATAAACTGCTTGAGGGAGACTTCTCTGGTGATCAAGTGGTTAAGAATCCGCCTTCCAATATAGGGGGCGTGGACTCAATCCCTGGTGGGGGAACTAAGATCCCACATGCCATGGGGCAGCTCCTGAGCCAGCCTACTCTAGAGCCTGTACCCTGCAACCAGAGAAGCCCACATGATACAACCAAGACCTGATGCAGTCAAATAAATAAATAAAAATTAAAAAACCTTCCTTGAGGGCCTCAACTTTTTTATCCTTGTATGGTTTCTGCCGAGTATGGTGCTGGCACCCAGGAGTGCTTAAACTAAATCTTGGCTGACTGAATGAGCACCATGTGCAGCCCAGCCTTGTTAAGTTGAGCATTTTATCCAGCTTCTCCTTTGGCTGACAGCTTCCACCCAGGAAACCACATCTAGAACATCAGAAGTGGGTCCTGGTTGTTGTCTCTGCTAACATGCATATTCTCCAATCTTATCAAGCAAAGTCTATAATCAACTGTTGGTAGGCAGAGAATCTCATCTACTCCTAAGATATCGTGGTATGCATGAAGATTTTAGAATTTTTGTCCAAGAGTCATGTCTACTGAAATATAATACTCAACCTATTGAGGACTGTGGCAGTCTGCCCACATGTCAAGTTTCTGACAGATGTGATCAGTCTGGGAGCAGAGGACACAACTGGTGTCTGAATATGACTGAAATGTCGGGAGGACAGTACAGAATTAAGACAGGCATTCTTGGTGCAGTTTCGATAGGCTGAAGATGCCAAAATGTTCAGGGGCCGTAAAATTCCTGCAGAGAAAGAAAAGCATATACACTTAATATGACACTCCAAAATATGCATCTAGGGAATTCCCTGGCAGTCCAGTTGTTAGGACTTGGTGCTTTCACTGCTGGGGCCTGAGTTCAATCCCTGATTGGGAAACTAAGATCCTGCAAGCCAAGGGGCACAGCCAAAACAAACAAACACACACACATCCAGATATTTAAAATGAAGTAGCATCAAAGCAACCAAGTGTTCTAATTAATGGATCCTGAGCATCAGACTCACACGTGGAGCTTTTTATCCTTATTGAGATATAGTTTATACACTACAAAATTACCCATTTGTGTACAAGTCAATTATTTTTTAAGTTAGAGAGTTATGCTACCACCACCACAATCCAGTCTGATATGTCCTAGTTCTATGGTCAACAGTAGAGGACAAAGTATATGTAAAGTTAATTCCCACAACCAGATCTTGCACTGTGATGACACAGAACTCCAAAACACAGGAAACAGCATGGCAGAGACATGAAAGCTCCACAGCTCCTTGGAGACAGCAGAGCAGCAGAAAAAGGATTCATAAAGATAACATAAGAGGTACTTGAGCTTCCCTCTCGAAAATGAACAGGCCACAAGAGAGGAGGCACAGACTCTAGGTAGGATAACACATGCAAAGGTCAGGAAGTTGAGACAAATCCTTGTTGGGAGCAGGGACCCGACTTAACATGGAGGAGTGGTGGCAGCTCAGAAGGCAGATCATGGAGGGTCTAGGTGTCTTCTCTATCAATCTTTCACACAATCACCAGACTCAGAGTCCATGGCTGCAAAGCAGAATCACTCACAGAGCTCGGGCTCCACTTGCAGATTCTGACACTAGTGAGGGACTCAAGAATGTGCACGTTAAAAGAAACCGAGTCACAGATGAAGAACACAATCTTATGGTTACCAGGGGAGAAGGATAAAGTAGGAGATCAGGACTGATATATACACACTACTATATATATAACAGATAACTAACAAGGACCTACTGGAACTCTACATACTCTGTAATGACAAAAGAGAGTGGATATATGTATTTGTGTGTATGATCCACTTTGCTATACAGCAGAAAGTAACACAACATTGTAAATCAACTATATTCCAATAAAAATTAGAAATAATAATAATAAAGAGTGTGCATATCGATAAAACTCCACAGAATGATGGAAATGTTCAACAACTGGATGGACCATAGCCCACCAGGTTCCTTGTCCATGGGACTCTCTAAAACCGTATCTGAATGATCTCTAACCTTTGCAAAAGTCTTCAGAGTGAAGGCAACCCTTCACTCCTGTCTCTCTTAGGACCCCTTGTAGCGGGACTGAGGGAACCAAACAGGCTCATCCCCTGCACACTGACTGAATCTCATACATACACCATATCCAAGATAGTACACAAGGAACTTTCCGTGGATGCTGTTAGCCCTATTTTAGAGTCGTAGCCTCTTAAGTTCAAAGATATTAAGTAACACCTCAAGGTCAAAGGTTGGAATGACGGATCCTGGCCTTGGTGGAACTTTTCTGTCTTCCTCGCAACCCCCTACCACAACCCTCGTCCTTCGGGATTGTTTTCTAGGGAACGCGGAATGGCTACGAGCCGGTAAGGAAGAGGAAACCGGGGGAAACCCCAGGTCCGTGAGGGTCCAAGAATTTCGGGGCTCTCTCGAGCTGAGATCGAATATCGAATACAGGCCACTCCGCAGAAAATTCGGAACAAGCTTCTGTCCTCAATAACGACCACCTCTCCTTTTTTTTCCTTTCCTGTTAACCTCCACCCACGTTAAACGTCCACTCCATCCCACGCCAGTCCCCTCTTCTATGAAGGCATAAACAGAGAGTGGCGCTTCTCACTGACCGGAGGCTGCTCTCACCGCACCGGCGAACACGGAGGCCGCCATCTTGCAAAGCTGCCGTACGGCAGCCGCGTTGGGTCTAAAAGCCTCAGGACTAGACGTACTTTAGGAAAACTAACCTGGGCGGAGTCAAGAAAGGGAGTTAGACAAATGAATAAAGGGACGGTCAGCTCTGCCTTTATTGAATGTCTTCTATATGCCAGGCTGTCCTCCAACGCTGTAAAACAAGTGCCTATAGTATCAGTTCAGTTCAGTTCAGTCGCTCAGTTGTGTGTGTGCCTGGCATATAGCAGGTTCTCAATAAATTCTTACTGAGCATTTGATTGAATGATGTATTTTAGTACCAACACATTTGAAACATTTTCTTTTTGCTCGTTTCATTCAATTTATTTGAGAATACAGCGTATCCTCCCAAAGCTGGTATATGTTAGGCTAAAGGGATAGGAAATAGAGACACTATTAGAAATTTTTAAAAATTGAATTCCAACTCTAATAATAAACAATGTAAATATCCAGAGGACATCATACACACACACACTTTTTTTTTTTCTCTAATCAATAGCACTGTCGCTTGGTAGAACAGCATCTCAACTCTTTCTGAACAATTTACATTCCTTATCTTATTCCTGAGAATTATTGATCACACATTAAAAAAAAGGTTCATTCAAACAGAAAATAAACAACTCTCTCCCATCCTCATTGTCTAAGATACTTGAGGCATATTCAATATATGGCACTATTTACAGGTCCCCCCGCCCCCCCCGCCGGGACTCAGTGGTAAAGAATCCACCTGCAATGCAGGAGACACGGGTTCAATCCCTGGGTGGGGAAGATCCCCTGGAGAAGGAAATGGCACCCACTCCAGTATTCTTGCCTGGAGGATCCCATGGACAGAGGAGGCTGGCAGGCTATAGTCCATGGGGTCACAAAAGTCAGACACGACTTACTAAAGAACAGATCAAAAATACATGGCAGATAACTGACTCACAGGGCATTCAAAGTTAAAGAAAGAAGGCTTTTGGTTGAGGTGACCAGGGACAAGAAGATGGAATATAATATGGATCTTAAAGAATGGTGAGGATTTTAACAAGAGCAAGGTCACTAATGGTGGTAAGAACACCAGGAGTTAAGGTGAAAAGAGAGGGAGCCAAGAGATAGACGCACAGGATTTATTTAGAGCAGTGGCTCTCAAACTTTTCAGTCTTAGAACCTCTTTACATGCTTAAAAATTGAGGACCCCAAAGAGCTTATAATTATATGGATTATATCTATTAATATGTATTACATTGGAAAGTAAAACAGAAACTATTTATTTTACTAGTTTCTTAATGCTGTTATAACAAGTTAACTCAAATTTGGTGGATTAAAGCAACACAAGTTTATTGTCTTACAGTTCTGTATGTCAGAAGTCCAACATGGGCTTCACAATGCTAAAATCAAGGTATCCAGGGCTGTGTTTCTTCTAGAGGTTCTAGAGAAATTTGTTTCATTGCCTTTTCCAGGTTTTAGAGGCTTACTGCCTCCTTCCATCTTAAAGCGACATCACTCTGACTTCTGCTTTCATTGTCATACTTCCCTTTTAGACTCACCCTCCTGCTTCCCTCTTTCATTCCTAAGGACCCCTGTGTGGACATTTGGTCCATACAAACATTTCAGAATTATCTCAATCCCCATCTGAAGATTCTCAGCTTAATCACACCTGCAAAATTCTTTTTTTGCCATGTAAGGTAACATATTCACAGGCTCCAGGGATTAGGAGAACATGGACCTGTTGGGAGATAAGTATTCTGCCCGTTGGTCTTAACTATTTTATTACAAAACAATTATAGGGATTTTCCTGTCAGTCCAGTGGTTAAGAATCTGTTTCCACTGCAGAAGACAGGTTAGATCCCTGGTTCAGTTCAGTTCAGTTGCTCAGTCATGGCCGACTCTGCGACCCCATGGACTGCAGCATGTCAGGCTTCCCTGTACGTCACCAACTACTGGAGCTTACTCAATTTCATGTCCATTGAGTCAGTGATGTCACCCAACCATCTCATCCTCTGTTGTCCCCTTTCCTCCCGCCCTCAATCTTTCCCAGCATCAGAGTCTTTTCAAGTGAGTCAGGTCTTCGCATTAGGTGGCCAAAGTATTGGAGTTTCAGCTTCAGTATCAGTCCTTCCACTGAATATTCAAGACTGATTTCCTTTAGGGTGGTCTGGTTGGATCTCTTTGCTGTACAAGGGAGTCTCAAGAGTCTTCTCCAACACCACAGTTTGAAAGTATCAATTCTTTGGTGCTCAGCTTTCTTTATAGTCCAACTCTCACATCCATATGAGACTACTGGGAAAACCACAGCTTTAACTAGACGGACCTTTGCTACCAAAGTAATGTCTCTGCTTTTTAATCTGCTGTCTAGGTTGGTCATAACTTTTCTTCCAAGGAGCAAGTGTCTTTTAATTTCATGGCTGCAGTCACCATCTCCAGTGATTTTGGAGCCCCCCAAAATAAAGTCTGTCACTGTTTCCCCATCTATTTGCCATGAAGTGATGGGACCAGATGCCATGATCTTAGTTTTCTGAATGTTGAGCTTTAAGCCAACTTTTTCACTCTCCTCTTTCACTTTCATCAAGAGGCTCTTTAGTTCTTCACTTTCTGCCATAAGGGTGGTGTCATCTGCATATTGGAGAAGAAAATGGCAACCCACTCCAGTATTCTTGCCTGGAGAATCCTATGGATAGAGGAGCCCGGTGGGCTGCTGTTCATGGGGTCGCACAGTCAGATACAACTGAAGCGACTTAGCATGCATGCATGCATTGGAGAAGGAAATGGCAACCCACCCCCGTATTCTTGCCTGGAGAATCCCAGGGACAGAGGAGCCTGATGGACTGTCATCTATGGGGTCTCACAGAGTCCGACAGTACTGAAGCAACTTAGCAGCAGCAGCAGCAGCAGCATCTGCATATCTGAGGTTATTGATATTTCTCCCGACAATTTTGATTCCAGTTTGTGCTTCATCCAGTCCGGCATTTCTCACGATATACTCTGCATGTAAGTTAAATAAACAGGGTGACAACATATAGCCTTGACATACTCCTTTCCCAATTTGGAACCAGTCTGTTGTTCTATGTCTAGTTCTAACTGTTGCTTCTTGACCTGCATACCAGATCGCTGGTAGGGAAACTGATATTCTACATTCTGATGTGGTGCAGAAAAAAATTATAAGCCTGTTACATATTAACAAATATTTTAGGAAAAATTATTTCAAAATTAAAAATTAATGAAGGCTCCCCTGGTGATCCAATGGCTAAGACTCTGTGCTCCCAAGGCAGGGGGCCTGGGTTTGATCCCTGGTTAGGGAACTGGATCCCACATGCCACAACTATAAAACCCTGGTTACAACTAAGACCCGACACAAACAAACAAGTAAATTTTAAAAAAATTAATGAGAAGAGTGGCATTGTTTAACCTCTTTTCAAGTCTCTGCAAGGTCTGGTTTAATAGAAAACTGGATTCTGAAATTTGCTTATGCATTCAATTTGTTGTGGTATCACCTGTCACCTAGTGTCTGGGAAAAATGCTACAATTATGAATAATGAGTAAAAAACAGCAAATATCTAAAATTATGAAGGTTGCTTTGACTTTATGGACCCTCTTTAACGCTTTCAGGTTCACCTGGAGTCCCAGGCTACACTTTGAGAACCACTGAGTTGGTTATATTTCGTTTCTCTGGGTTTTAGGGTAGACAAGAGGCTGATGAGCTTGAATTGCTATTGTTGTTATCTTGATCTCTGACCTACAGTGACCACTTTGAGCCATAAAACATGAACACAGGCTGGAAAAGTACTCTGAGACATTTCTTAAGGATCTTTGAATTGGCAGTGGGAGTCGCCTAAAGTTTTCAACGAGGGAATGAATTACATTTCTAAGTTACTTTAGGAGAGTCCATTTTAAAGCAAAAATAAAAAATCTTACATTGCACGTGGAAGATGAGGATTAAGGACTTGGTTAAACTAGAGGTTAGGAAACTACAGAAATTGATAGTAGTGGGCAGGGATGGGGTGGAGGGGTTGTGATGACAGTTCAAGAATAAGATTAATTTAAAAAATGGGATCTTCTCTGAAAGCTGTTAAGTGATAGCAGTATGAAATAGTGTAACATAACTACAAAAGTACTCTGAAAAGCAATGAACCTATACAAACATAAGAAATTACCTGGTTTTAGATAATTTTCAAATCTATTTCTCTACTTTATAAATTGGATTTGGTAGCATTAGGACTTGATAGTCCTTTGCAAATGCAACAGATACACAAGTTTAGTTTCCACTATACTGTGATGGTAAGATCATTATTACTATTAATAGTATTAAATATGTTGCTTAATATTTAACATGTGTTACCTTGATTTTCATACTGTTCATGGGGTTGTCAGCTAAGATCAAGTGGCTCAGATGGTAAAGCATCTGCCTGCAATGCAGGAGACCGGGGTTTGATCCTTGGGTGGGGAAGATTCCCTGGAGACGGAAATGGCAACCTATTCCAGTACTCTTGCCTGGAAAATCCCTTGGTTGGAGGAGCCTGATAGGTTATAGTCCATGGGTTGCAGAGTCTGACATGACTCAGCGACTTCACTTTCACTTTCATGGGGTTCTCAAGGCAAGAATACTGAAGTGGCTTGCATTCCCTTTTCCAGTGGACCATGTTTTGTCAGAACTCTCCACCATGACCCGTTTGCTTGGGTAGTCCTATACATCATGGCTCATAGTTTCATTGAGTTAGACAAGGCTGTGGTCCATGTGATCAGATTGGTTAGTTTTCTGGAATGCAAAAGTAGGAAGTCAAGAAATACCCAGAGTAACAGGCAAATTTGGCCTTCGAGTACAGAATGGAGCAGGGCAACAGCTAATAGAGTTCTGCCAAGAGAACGCACTGGTCATAGCAAACACCCTCTTCCAAAAACACAAGAGAAGACTCTATGCATGGACATCACCAGATGGTCAATACCAAAATCAGATTGATTATATTCTTTGCAGCCAAAGATGGAGAAGCTCTATACAGTCAGCAAAA